TCATCAAATGGGGTAATTTCAGACAAAAGTAAATGATGTTGGATTTTTAGAAGTGGCTTACATTTTTTAAAGTTTTTATTAATCATCTATTGCTGCATACAAATTATATAAACATTTTGTAGCTTAAAGCAACAAACACTACCTCAGGGTTCCTGGGAGGCAGGAATGGCTCGGCTCTCTCACAGGCTGCAGTTACGGGGTTGGTTAGGGTGCAGCCTTCTGAGGACCTGCTTCTAGGCTGACTTGTGGCTGTTGGCTGACAAGGGCTGGCTACTGGCTACTGACCTGTTCCTTGCCACATGAGCTTCTTCACTGGCAACTGTCTTCCCTCAGAGTGAGTAAGAGGAGAGTCAGAGGTGGTGGCCAGGACAGAAGCCACCAGATAGTATCTGGATACTTTGATTGTCTGCTCACTGGCAGTGAGTCACTGCCTCCAGCCCACATTCAAAAGCAAGGATTACTCACCCGTGTTGCAAACAGGAGTAGACTTTCAGTGGGGACCATCTGGGGCTGCCAACCACTATGGGTCATTCCTGGTTTCTTCTTACGCTTCTGGACTTTACTATAAATAATGGTAACTAAAGGTTGTGATGTGAGAACCAAGAGTAGGCTCCTATCTTTCTCCTTCAAAGCTAATAATCAGCAATTTCCTCAGTATACACATTGCTACTACACATAACATAAAACCTTACAGAACAAGGTTGTAAAACTAAAACAGCAAAATACATATAGAATGTTTTCAGCCTTTGGAAGGTAAACATTGGCATGAGCCCTTGGCAGTTATCTGGGGAGAAAGTAGACAGGCAAGGATGCGTGGCAGTGGTAAGGCCTTTAAGCTTCTGGAAGATGATACAGACTCAGGAACTAGACTCCCAGGCTCAAACCCAGCCTGCTACTTACCTGTGCTTTCTCCTCCTGCCTGCTTTTTCATGTGTAGAAAGAGAATGAAGTAGTATCTGTAAAGGGAAGATGGTAATAGCATGAGGTAATATATGTGAAGTGCACAGATCAGGGCTTGACTCCCAGCAAGCACATTGGTGTAAGTCATTACTGATACAAGTCCACAGCAGATAAGTGAGTGCATTATGAATGCTATTGCAAGTAATGCAGTATACAAGTAAGTTCTACTTTTCTCTTTACCCAGAAATACACAGCATTTGGTAATTTTGCTGCACAATACAAAACATCATTTAAAAAACTTGATGTGTCTCTTTCACGTCAACGTTTCTCTCTCTCTCTTCCTCCCTTTCTCCCTACCATTCTATCTGAAGATGAATGCAAAAAATGTCCTTGGGTGAGGATAAAAACAACAACAACAACAAGCAACAACAACAACAACAACAACAACAAAAACCCCACACTCCCTAAAGCTAAAAACAAAGTAACTTCCTAGTTGATTTAATGCTTATTTTGGGCAATGTCAATTTTTATATTTCTATACTACCAAGAATGCTGTACACCTGAATACCCTAATTTCCTCTTTTAGATGACCTCACATTTTTTTAAAATTTCATTTTATTCATTTATTCACCATTCATTCCTTTCATGAGCATGAGCAACTTCTGGTCACTGGGCACTGGACATCATAGACCTGGTCAAAGACATAAAGAGATGTATGTGACCTTGAATGAGAGGTGCTCTGGAAGAGGGACCAGGAGGGAAATGCACTTCTGTTTGGCGGAGGTCATGACATGGGCGACTTCCATAAGAGGAAACATGTGAGCTATGTGGAAACAGGGAGATGTTCTAGTTGGAGGGAAGGTATGGTGTTTGCAAGGTCTAAAGGCAGGAAGCAGCAAAGCAAATGGAAGATTCTGGCTATTGAGTTGGGCAGTAGCACAGAGCATAGGATGTGCCTTGGTGGAAAAGGCATTGCAGGCATAGGTAGGAGGCAGGTTTATGACCTTGAACCAAGAGTAAGAACTATCACTTAATTGACATCTCAGAGTGAAAACCACCATCCTCTGGTACCTTGCAAGGCTCACATGATATGGCCAAATCCAGGACTCTGCTGCACATTGGGCTCCCCACAGGCTGTCTTGGGCAGGTCAGGCAGGTCAGGTCTATTTGCACCTTACGGACTTGGTTTGAGCCACTGACTCTGCCTGACAGGCTCTCCCACAAGGAGATTTGGTCAGCTTGCTCACCTACCTCATCTCTTGGCTCAAATCACACCTTCTCATTGAGCTCTACCTTCAGTGTCCCTAATGAATGCTGCCACTGGCCTTCCTCACCCCATGTACCTTTGGCCCCCCTTTTTTCCCTGACTTCTTGTTTGTACAGCACTTATCTTCCAACATACCTGTCATTGACCTTTTATTGTGTTTATTGTTCATCATACATCTCCCCACCAAAATGTAAACTCCCAGACATAAGAAGGGATCATTGTCAGCCCTAGCACTTGGGACATGCTCAATAAATACTATTGACTGAATGAATGACCAAATGTCTTTGGATTGTTTTTAGGAAACTTAAACTCTGGATGAGAACTAAGAAGCAGAAGGGGGGAAAATAGCTAGAAAGACAATTCAGTTTTACATTCTTGTTCTTTTATATTATCTCATTTATGTATTTTCCTGTCAGTCCAATCATTAGTGTGAAAGTTTCTTCCTGCTTTGGATCTTTCATAAAGGAGGTTAAGAATGTCAATATGATATAAAAAGCTACAAATATGTACATGACGACTTTAAGATGAAAAAACTCTTTTTGTGGATTTCTTCTTCTCCTACATACCATCCCTCACTTCCCCTTCTGTTGCTTGGGCTTGAAAGTGCCAAGCTCCCATTGTCCAGGATTGTGTGTCAGGATTAGCACTTCTTGATCTCGTCTTCTGGTCTGGGTACTGCATCTCTTAGTCCTGATGTGCATCCCACACTGGACTGTCTTGTGGCCCAAGGCCCTCCTCACTCTGTGACCAGAAGTACTCAAGACCTTAACCCCCTGGGTCCCCTTCTTGTTTCCTACTTCCTGGTTATGAGAGTGCTTCTCTTGTTCTTCTACAAGTCACTATTTTCCTCTGAACTGAGCTTTCTTCAGAGGGCTGCCCTCACATCCTTGCTGACAATCAAAGGACACATTTGTCTCTCTGTTGCGGTGAACTTCTTTTATGAAAGCTTTTTCTCTTGTGAAAACGGACATTTCTGTTTTTCTTGTATCTGCCTGACACAGCCTGCTGTTTGTTTATTCATGTGTGGCAGTGCCTCTTTGCCCTCTCTCCCCTGTGTGAGCAGTGGCATGGCCGCTGCTCTGTCTTCTGTGCTTCTCCTTATTGCTCTTGCCTTTGGAGAATCCATCTCTGCTTGTCATTTCAACTAACACCTCTGCTCAGGACTCCTCTCCATTTATGCAGAAATGGTGTCCACACTCTTAATGACTATTTCCATCAGATCTAAGTCCCATTATTTGGATCCCTGAATGTGTCTCACAGTAAAGTCTTCATTTTCTTCTTAAATGTCTTCTTTTTCTCCATGGCAGTAATCCTTATCGTTACCTGGGATGTAAGCCTTGGAGTAATTCTTAATGTACTTTCTCTTCACACCTCTCCATATTTATTTTATAAAATACTTCTTTATTCTGTAGGAAGCTTTTAAAAAAATTACCATTGTTGCTACACCACCTGAGGTCCTTATTTATACCCCAGCATTATTGTCACAACATTTAAGTTTTGCTTCCCACCAATCTTGCTTATGTACAATTGCAGGGTTAATCTTTCTGAAATATGCTCTCCTGATTCAAATTATCAGTGACTATTTTCTGACATCTCAACTCCATATATCCCTGCCCTTCATTTTCTCTTCTACTAACATTTGTTTCAACATGTCTCCATTCTGTGATATTTGTTAATTTGATCGCCTCATTCTACAAACTCATACTTACTCCTTCTTATCTTTACTCTGTCTTCCTTCATCCAAAAAAAATTTTTAATTGCTATCCTGTGATCATTTTCTTTCTGCATGGAACACTGCACACTTTCTTCTCCCAATCTAATAGTGAGGATGCTTACAGTAATTGCTCATGTTTTGGGGAGTTTTTGCGTATGAGACCCTGAGCCAAGTGTTTTAAACACGTTACATTTATTCCTCATAATAAGTCTGTGAGTTAGAGACAATTGTCATACCCATTTCACAGATGAGGAAATGGGAACTTGGAGAGGTATCCACTGGAGTTCTGTGCTACTTTTAAGAAGAGTGATGCAGAGGAACGGGCATAGGCTTGTAGACCTGAATTCAGTTCTGACTCGGTCACATCTTCGCTGGGAGAATTCAGTGATTGAGTCTCTCTGAGTCTGAGATTCCTTACTTATACAATGAGGATTAAATGAGATAATTTACAAAGAAATGCCATAGAACATTTAACAAATATTTTTCTTCGCTTTTCTTCCTCTTCAGTGTCATCACTTCCATTGACAACCTTACCCCTCAAACCCTTATGAATCCTGTTTCCCTCTATATTTCTGTAGCAATTTTAACTTGCCTACATATTTTGTAACTTATTTATGACCCACCTTCTTTCAGATATATTGGTGTTGCCTTCATGATTAGATTTTAAGAGCAGGAACCATACATTTTAGTCCAGCTGGTATGGCTCAGTGTTTGAGTGTTGACCAATACACCAAGAGGTTGCCAGTTTGATTCCTGGTCAGGGCACATGCCTAGGTTGTGGGTCTGATCCCCAGTGAGGAGCATGCAGGAGGCGGCCAATCCATGTTCTCTCTCATTGATGTTTCTATTTCTCTCTCCCTCTCCCTTCCTCTCTCTCTAAAATCAATAAAGGGAAAAAAAAATAATTTAAAAAACAGAGCAGGAACCATGCATTTTAATTCTTCATTTTTCATCACCCTAAACATAGTGATAAACACAGAATAAATGCTCAATTTTTACTTCCTAACTGACATACCTACTTAGCTTGATCCAGCAATACTTGATGGTGTCACCCCACAGTTGCATGTATCCTGTTAATCTATCTTATTCATGCGTTTTTTTCTCTCTTCCCACCCACAGCATGTGCATTCCGGTATAATGGATTCTCCTTCGTCTACCTCATCTACCTCTTGCTCATCCCCCTGTTCTCAGAACCAACAAGAGTGACAATGCAAGGTAAGTAATAATTACTGCTCTGTGCCACATTCTGACTATATTTGCTGAGCTCTATGGGTCTGTCTTTATCTGATGAGATAGATGCTATACGTGCAGCAAGCTGGTCCAGTGGGGACCTGGTGTCAAACATGTGCACCAAGAAGAGCAGTGTGGAACATGTTGGTGATACATGTCACTTACACAGCTAATATCCCCATTCAAGTTCTATATTAGCTCTCTTATTTGTAGGCTTGCAATACATCTGGAATGGGTTTGGCTAGTTAAGATAAATTCAATGTATTGTCAACGAAGTAAGGTAGATAGTATGACAAAATTGGCACATGATTTGCACATTGGATTTCTGGGGAGAATGTGGTGACAATAGAAATGGGTCAGCAAGGTGTCTTACATTTCTAAGCCACCTAACCATCAGGAGAACTGGGTAGGAAACCGAGTCCCAGTCACGACTTGTTTATATATCAGTTGATATTTCTTACATATGCCTCTATCGAGTACTGTGATTTGAGTTTGAGGGATAGTTTCTCAAGAATATTACTACAAAGCTTTATGTCTCTTTCCCATTGCTCTACAAGAACTTGAAGTTATAGAAAAGAATAATGACCATTTCTCCTGAGGCTCTGATTAGAAAGCATGGTCTGATTTTTGTCAATTGATATATTTGAAGTTCTTCCACAAGTATTAAAATTAAAAACACAAAGTTAGTTTAATAAATTATTTTTTGAAATAAAACCATTATAAGAAAGAAGGGTTGTGCCAAATGCCTTAGGTGAGTATGGTGGCTGTATGTTTACGTGAAAGGAAGAGGAAGCTGTGTGGCCCAACCTATGGTGTGGCGGGAAAAGGCCATAGGTCAAATTTGCCCACTCATAGTGATGTCCCTTCAAGAAAAAAAGTAAGGGCATAGGTGTCCATAGCAGCAAATGATGACTCTATTTTTACCGCTTAACTATTACATTTATAGTGTATATTATGATCATTCATCCTAATAGTTATGACTGCGGATACTATGTTGATTTTCCTACCTCAGAAAGAATCTAAATAATAGTCTTCTAAGTGACTTAAATCCTTAATACATAAAGTTAAGAAGGGGTACAGAAATGTGAGTTTATATGAATCTTCATTCAAACCAAAAATAAGTTGTTTATGTGGCCCCACCTTAACCTCTTTCTTAGAGTTTGTTATAAACAAAGACATTTAAACATAATAGCTTCTGACCTCAGAACCAAGATTAAACAGCAGGCTATTCCTAGTTTATGGCTTCGAGCTCGTGTTTCAAAGAAAGAAGGTTTTAGACACATTCAGAATAAACTGCTTTAAAAATTAGTACCTGTGTATATTCAAATAAATTATCTATTGCTTTCACATCAGGGTGTCCCCTATTGCTTCACCTGGAAATCAAGTAACGGGGATTTTCCTCTTTATTGTTATGTACCAATGACTGCTTTGCCTTCTTCCCAAATCACCAGCCCTGCGTGTGGTCAGGTTGCCTCAGTTTCTGTACGGATGGAATGTGCATCTGTGTCAGAAGTGTATGACAATGGTCCCATCCTTTATGCCCAAGGGCATCAGGGACTGACACTGTCAGGAAGCTCATACTTCATTGGAGAATCAAATGCAGTAAAGCAACTCCTCTCTGTGTAAAGAAAGACCCTGAACTAACAAAATGTTATGAGGTGAATGCCCAAGCCAAGCACAGGAAGTACATAACTGTCTGCCGGGCTGCTCCTAACAGGAGAGGAAGGAGCTGGGCTTGAAAGGGAAACCCACAGGTGTCTTTTCAGTTACTACCTGGACACAGTGTTGTAATTATTTATTTTCCTCTTTCCTACATTTTAATAAGAAGCATGGGTAATATTCAACATAGCCTCATTTATTTGTTTGTTTGTTTGTTTACAGAAATGCAGAGGGACTCTAGGAAAGGGTGTCCTACCTATTTTGTTCTGAACAAATAGGAAGCACAGCCATGTGTTTTTCAGCCTATGTTTTGAAATGTCCCACATTGGGTTTTTCTGGCAGAGCACAGTCAAAACCACCTTTAAAGCTGATGTGGTGCCATGCACACAATGACAGCCCGGAGGATGGACTGTCAGGGAGATGCAGGCTCAAACCCACTTGGACTTTCCAATTCATGTTCACACACATTTCTCACGAATCGGTAAAGCACAATGGCCAACTGAAAGAACTGTTAGTGACCTCTGTGCCACCTGCTCCCAAGTCTCTGCCTTGAAACAGCAAGCACATTCCAATTGCTCCCCAAGCTGCTCTGGCTTCTGTGCATGTCCCAGGACATGTGACAAAACTGCCCCTGAACTGGATGTGATGCATATGTATGGAAGTTCCTCTTCTCAGAGGAACTTCTGAGAAGTTCCTCTCCGCTCTCCATTCGACATGTTGGAATTTTTTCCTGTGTGGTTATGTTTTCCTAAAAGTGAATCCACAGAGGGGCCCAGTAATGGGGAAATTTAGTGTCATAACTGAGAGTGTGGATATTTGGTGTAGTTCTTGAGGTGACCTAGTGTGAAAACCTAGTCTCTCCACTGCAGTTGTTTAGGGTAGGGGTGTTCACTTCCTGTAACCTCAAGGCCATCAGCAGGACACAGATCATCTGAGTGTGTGACTGATGCTTTTCCATGCCTGTGATTAGACAAAGGTTTGTTGTAAGGGCTGGAAATGACTGGGTGAGAGATGGAAGATCAGGAGCAGTTAGTTATATATTGAAATGTTATCAAGTTTAAAAAACGAATTTGAGTGAGGACAATTGCTTGGGGGTTTAATACACTTAAGTTACTTGTAACTGCCAAAGTTGAGAGCTGGAGGAGCTTTTAGGAATTACTAAGCATATTCCAGCGCCCAGTGGTGGAGTCCTTTCACGACGTCCAAGTTGGCTGGCCGTGTAGACTTCTTAGATACTCCTGGTACACAGAGCGATCTGTCTCTCTAGGAAGTCTTATGCAGTTTGTTTCTTGAGTAGACCTGAAATCTACCTCCTGGCAAACCCATGCCACTGTTTCCAGTCCCAAGCTGTAACGGAGGAGTTGACAAATTCTAAAAGATCTCTTTAACATGATATTGTAAAGGGATTAATCAAAGCAAGGGATTTAACTAAATGACTTTGTAAATCTTTCATAAATTTAGGATTTTAAAATTCTCATTTTTATATTTCAGATCTTCAAATGTGTAATCATCTCAGTAGGGTGGTATCATTCAGGGTCCAACCAGAAATCAGGAAGCACTCCAGGTGTTTTAAAAGGAGAACATGTAATAGAAGGAATGGGTCACAAGATTAGGGAAGAGCTAAGAAGTCAAAAGGAATGCTGAGGTAACTTAGATAGCAAAGCAGGAAGTCTGGGGAGCAACAAGAGGTATTATTAGCAGAACTCAGACACCAGGGTCATCCACAAGTTGCTAGAACCAGAGGAGAAAGTTGGGAAATAGATCTATGCAGACAAGAATTCAGCTATTAGTTATGTAACCTACTGAGATAGTTCCGTGTTCACTGTCAATAAACTGCTCATCACTTTCCAATGTCAGGAGGTGGGTGGCAGAGGTGGTCATCTTTCCCTTCAGTCTTCCTGGGACAGAATATCCCTAGATACTTAAGGGTGTGATTTTTTTGACTGTTCTATTCAGAGGGACTTCGTCTGGAGGTGCTTCCCTCTGTCAGAACTTCTCAAATGCTGTGTGCAGCGGGTGCTGAGGTGTACATTCAGAATCCTCTTTCACAGCTGAGGCACCATTCCCCGGCTGCCGGGAGGCATTGTCTGCAATAGCTTACAGCAGAATGCCTCTCTGGGAATTGGTGGCTGCTAAAGGGAGCTCACACATGGGCACACACACACACACACACACTCACACACATATACACTCACACTCATACACACACTCATGCTCACACTCACACATACTAACACACATTCACACACACACACACACACACAGGCACACATACTCACTGCCTGGGGTACAGACATCTTCAATCTGCCATCAGATATCTATGTACAATTATTTCCCTCAGCAAGAACCTCACCGTTTGATTTCTCAAGCAAGAGTTATATTTCAGTGTAGTATGTCCTCTGAGCTCACAGGGTGGTCTCACTGAAGCATGTCTCACTAGGCTTGGAATTCTCTCAACAATATCTAACTCTTTCAGCTTCTCCGATATCCTCTTTCATATTCTCTATGGGACAAGAAACCATGGGTTGAAACAAATGTCCTTTGCCATAGTATTCATTGGGGAATGAGGAGTGTTTGCCACTAAGGCGTGATTCCTCAGCCTTGGTCCTTCACCTGAAACTGAGCTATAGTCCAAGGTTAGTATATTTTTTACTGTATCTCTTTTCCGTCTGCTAGGTAAACTTCAACAGGGAAGGTCAAGGGTTTTGCTGTTTGATTTACTACAGTATTTCCAGGACCTAGAACAGTGCCTGGTGTATTGAAGGCATTCTGTAAATATTTATGGAATAGATTTATTTCCAGAGTTAAGTGTTGTAGAAGCATTTATGAACACAGCTCTAATCCTGCGCTTACTTCAATCTCTGCAATAGGAACAGTTCATTGCATGTACCCGCTCTCTGGAGACAAAGCTTAGGGTATGCTAGGCCCTGAGATTTTGCTTTTGTCAATTTAATTAGAATCAGAGGATCATGAGTAATTGAAGAAATCAAATGTTTTATGCTTTTACTTACACCAATAAGCATCTTAGTTAAGCATGTACAGGTTTCTCCTACTATTTAAAATAGAGAGTTCATATGAAACCTTTTGCAACCTGAAATTGTGTAAAGTGAAGAACCAATGGCCTTAGGTCACATCCTAGTAACAAATGCACAAAATAAATGAAGATAAAGCACAGATGCTCACAGACAGTTCGCAGCTGTGACGGCTTGATGCTGAGCTGCTGATCCTGGTTCTCCGGGAAGGAGCTGGGCAGGGTCACTTTCCTTGCCCAGGGTGCACCCTGCAAACACTGAAAGCCAATTTTCCTTTGCACCTTTTTTTTCATA